CAAGAAAATAGTATCAAAGCTCCTAAGGAAAGCGTAGGGGTCAGAGTCTGAAGTCGTTGTTATAGACGATGACTGGAATGCGCTTGCATTTTGAGCTGGGCCTGGTGTATAGGCCGGCGGGGCTTCGTTGTTAGATCCCGAGGCGTTCATCGCTGTGCTACCTAGTGATCTGTTAGTATCTAGAGGGGTAAATGGCAGGAACATATCCAGCTCGGTGTGCTTGTTTATCTTACCTGGCCTTCTTGTAGCTGGTGATGGGGAGGTAAATGGGCTAGCAGCCGAAGGTGGTGGTGCGAGGCCGCTGTTACGGGATCCAGCCCTTTTGGGGCTGACCGGCGCAGCTGTAAACGTGTTGTTCAGTGTCTGACCCGTGACCGCTGTCCCTCGCGCCGAATGATCATTACTCGAAGTCGATGACTTGCGCGTCGAAAAAGCCCTTTTGACCTTGCCGAGCATACTTCCTCGCTGTAAAGGTGATTGGGGTTGTAGGTGGAGTGAAGGGTGATCCGAAGAGTTGGTAGGAGTTCTGCAGTACTGAGAAGGAAGTGAAAACGCCATTGAGCTTAGGCCAACAAACGTGGCAAGAGCAATTAGGTAAGACTGTTTGCAGTTTCCTAACTAAGGCCCTTGTGCTTGGGTGAATAAAGAACTTGTGTTCGTTCCATGGTTTGATTATAATCTCTTTATATCACTACAAACAATGGCCACTCTGCCTCGGCGGAAGCCTGTACGCCTCTTTGTATTAGGCCATAGCCAGTTTCGACAAATGAGACAGACATTTTTTCAGCAAAGCCTATCATGCGTACCTTGGGTTTTCTTCTTACAGAGATAGCTCAGATTTGCTCAGCCTTCTCTAGTAGTGGCGCGAACGTGCACAGCCGCATCACTAGTGTATGACCAATCACATCACCTATACAGCCGAGAGGATATTGTCCAATCCCGCATTACACGACGATTAATCATTCAAAGGTACAGCCTTGAATATTTGCGCACATGCATATTCCGTTCCATGGGAAAGTAATATGGGAAACCCTTTGAACCAGACTAGTGGTACCGAGTAGATAGTCCCCCGTCTACCAAATGTTGAGATAACGGCGACCTTCCGTTTCTGGTACCCCAAGGGAACGAGGCGTTCCTTAAGGCAGGATGCTTTTTATCAGATTTTGATCCGAAGTCCGCATCCCTACATAACAAGGGAAACGGTGTGGTGAGAGCGAGCGTAAGGCCGAAGGCATCCTGGTAGTAAGGGCGAATTCCGTAACAAAGGTACTACAGCTAAGGCTGAATCTCACCAACGGTGGACAAGGGCTAGCCAGCACACGAACGCCATGTACATGTCTATGACTTAGGCTCTAAAATGCATGGGGTTCAACAGGCCCGTAGTCAGGCATCAAATATGCACTAATCCTTTAATGTACGTATGTCTCTAGGAGTCCAGTCTCTCTCGCTAGCCATGAACATATCCCTTACCGCCACGTGCCTGGTAAGGCAGCTACTCGGCGTCATTTGGGGCCCTTTTCGTGCGCCTCCGTTAGCAAGCAATCGATTACCCGTCAAAGATCTTGGGTGAGCCCACAACACTGGTCTCTTGGCTAATTGCCAGGCGTACTCAGTTCGACGGGTGGTCCAACACTCAGCGCAGATACCAACGTCCGGACTGCCAGTATCCAGACTAAGATGGCTCTGTACAAGATCTAGAAGCGGAAGCAATCGTGATCGTAGTCCGCAATGCGCATGGTTGCTGTCGACTTGGTAGTTGGAGCATTGGCGAAGCGACGACAGAAGACGATCAATGTCTCCGAGATAGTATGTTGGTTCCGTATTGTCGTAGATCTTGCCCTGCAGACGCACGGTATCGATTTTGAAAAAGAAGCGGATCATTTCCCCAAGTTGAAACGAATCACATTGCAACGACGTATCGTAGCCAAGCTTGCATTGTCGCTCTCCAGAAGTATACAGCTTGAGGAAGTGCGACTGCAGAGAGTTGATCGTTTCCAAAATGTACTCTCGCCGTTGAATGAGCTCGTCTTCGACACCATTTGGTATGTCCCACCACAGCGCCTTTGTATGATCCTCCTCTGTGCCCGGCTGCCATTGTATAGAGTCCCGTATGATCAAATGCTTCGAGTATCGCGTTACCCACAATGGGTGGTCAAAGAGGAGACCGACTAACAACTTCTGTCGTATTCTCTCTTCTGTTTGTGATGTGTTTGGTTTACCTCTTGACTTGGCGTCAAGGAGTTGCATGTATTTTTTCTTCTGTACGTATTTCGAAAGGCACACAATGGCATCGAATCGATCGGCCACGACGGCGAGGTTAGCCAGGTTGGCGACGGGAGGGTTCGATACGGCAAGGTCTAGGCCATGAATGGCACGGAGAAAGTCTGCGAGCAAATTGCGGATGGACGAGACTTTGGCTACTGCCACTCGGCCGACATTGACAATGGATATGTGAGGAAGCACGTTGTCAGGTGCATCGCCGATATTCTCGTGCCCGCTCAATCTAAGGGCGTCAAGCGACTTTGCCAGCTGCTGACCTTCGTGAAACCGGTGGCTGAGTAAGTTCTCAAAGTATCGCGAGTTTTGCTGGAGGATCTTGGAGTCGACGCGGTACGAGAAACGCTGTCCTCCCTCTTCCTGGGCGACGTCAAGGATGAGATCGCCCCCGGCTGCAACGACCAACAATCCCTCTTCGTCCGACATGGTTCAGGATTGGTAGTGTGACTGTGCAAGGCGTACTTCCTCATGGATATGGCCAGAACATGATGACTTGATTCGATGGCGATTCGCTTTTGGTGCTGAGTGACAAGGCCAGAGACTGAGGTCACAGCCCGCGGGCGGAGCGATGCCTTGTCGAGGGGCTAGCCAATAGGGGGAGCCCAACTGCGGATGGTGGCGCTGGCCCCTTGTCCAGGCAGTCTACACATGCCTCTAGACCACCATTTGATCTTGCATTCACCTTGTCACCCCTTATATTTCTTCTGAGTTTTACTAGGCGGCTTGGTCACTAGATTGTGTCTGCCTGTTGTCCTGCCATTGTTGAGGCGGGTGTTTTAGCATCTTGACATCACGCGGACCTTTGATTGAGCAATGTGCGCATTTGTATTAATAAGTATGTCTTCCAAGCCAAGGGCAAGTAAAGACGGGCTTCAAAATGAAGACAACAATGAGACAAAGGAAATGTAAACTCCGTTCTGAATGCCGGGTATCTTCCCACGCGCCAAGGTCGTAAATCTAACACGATAGAGACGGTGACCTAAAGACCTTGGCGTCATCCTAAATTGTGGCCACTCGCTCAAAACAAAAAGAAAATCGTAAAAAGACTACGACGGCCATGTCGCAGGCCGAGTGCACATATGCCGGGCATGTGCCGGTACATGATGGGTGAGACGCGCTAGTTTAGCATGGCAGTCCGTCGTGCGTGAGTGGGTGCTAGCGGACACGGCGAGCTGGCAGCTTCATTCGCATCCACTCGTCGCCGACAATGGCATGGCCAACACGCGAGTCGTAGAATGCACGCTGGCGCTGAGCGCGCTCAACGTAGGTGAGGCGGTGCCTGTGTACACGGCCTTTGGTGTCGCGTATGTAGTCGTACTTTTCCTCGCCCTGGGAACAGTTAGCATAATCATCTTGACGAGAGAGATGACGGGACAAGAAGTGTTACTTACGATAATAGCCCATATGGCCTGCTCCTGGGGGTTCATCTGGCAGTAGTAGGTTGGTCGAGGCAGGGGCTTCTCGCCACTCAGCCGACTCGATATGCTGTCCACGCTGGAACGGATAGAGAGGACCATGGTGGAAGGCGCGACGATGGTGCAGTGGTGCAGTGGTGCGGGTCTTTGTCGGCGTGGGGGTTGGTGGTGCGAACACTCGCCGCAGAGGGCTTTGGATGCGCGTTACCGGACGAACGTGTCGATCGTGTAGTTGTTGGAGCAGCGACGTGAAGTGACAGACGGATGTTGATTCATCAAGTAAGGAAGGAATAAAGTAGGCTGGAGAGTAATGCAGCAATGCAAATGCACAATGTTGAGGCGTGACCCGTAGTTCGCCCCACGATGGATGGAAACGGTAAAGGTTTTAATCGCGCAAGTCGGAGGGCGAAACCGGCATTGTGTGGGAGCCGCGGTCGACTGTCAACGTCTGGCGATACACAGAGGGAGGGACTATACACTTAATATAACCAACAGGGCTGCAAAGGGTACAATCCAGGAGCAATCCGGGGCATCATGGGCCGCCCACGGGGAACTCAAAAGTAATTGCGCCTTCCGCACTACGTGGATGGTTGAAGCCTTCCAAGACATGCCGAGAAGGACCAGCCCAGACACAAGGGAGCTCCTCTGCCCAGACCCAACCACCACGCTGCAGATCCAAAGCACACGATGCACAATGGTGCTCGAAACATTGCATCACCATGCTACGCCAGCCTTGGCTGTCCAAGCAACGCAGCCAGGTTGCGCGGCGCCCAGCGGAGCGGAGGCTTGTCGGGACAAGAGCGTCCATGTTGGGTAGACCAACACGCACTGCATCTGAGGCGCAATCTCCAGATCTGCAACTCCAAGACACTTGGCGGGGGATCGACAGGACAGCGTGCGGCTTGAAATGAAGCATCTCGGGACTTGTAGCGTGCGGGTGAGAGAGATCGCCAGAGGCTGCGCCCACGCCTGGTTAGCTGGGGCGCCATCCCGCATGCACATCACTACGCCTTGCTATACCACAGCGCACCATACGCCCAGTGTTTGACATGTTCATCACACGTAATATCCCCTCTTGGACTGACTTGGGCGGCTCCTCAAACCTTGATAATGAGCCAGCTTCCTTGACATCCCGCCAGCTTCTGTCCGTGGATAACAACACATCACCGTCTCTCAGGGGGCGCTTTCTCGAGACCCTTTGTCCAGCTTGCTCCCTTGTACAGCACCATACGTAACCATTCACAGGCTGTTGCATGTGTTTGCTGGTCCCGGTGTCCTCTACTAGCCGATCCACGCCATGTGCGTGACTACCCGGGCCGCGCCACGACTGTTGCTTTTGGTCAACAGCATACGCCGCTAGAAGTTTGGCGGCAGAATCATAATTATGCACCAAAGAACCAGCGCATATTCGACGTTAGACCCAGGCCGTTGAACACTAAAGACGAGATGGGTTGGACTTGAACGGCCGCGGTCACAGGGTTCACCAGCCTTCAGACCATGGCAGTTCCACAGTTCCGCTTGTGTGCAAGCACAACTGGGTAGATAGCCAAGTGAACAATTACGTCTAGTCTTGTTTTGTAGTAACAAAGCAAAGGGAGGCTTCCGGGACCTTCCGTCATGATTTCGGTATGCAACCAGCCAAAGGGGTCGGCCAAGCCCAGACTGCGGGCTCTTGTGGTTGCTTACCATGTAACCATCCTTTCTCCTATCCTTCCTTTTGCTTCTACCTTGGCAAACTCTGTTCAACCGTGCTCAACGTCTGGAATTGCTGTCAAAGATGAATAAACCCCTTACCAACTCCCGCTCCGGAGCACTTGGCATACTAAAGACCCTCTACTGGTTATGAATAAGCAAAATCCTGCTGTGAACGGCAAAACACACACACACACACACACACACACACACACACACACGAAACCTTGGTGCACATTGCTAAACGGCTCCGGATACCTAGAAAAGGCCTTACAACATGAGAAACCCCTTACTCAAGTGCCTTCAGTGATGAGCATTGATCGAGCATGTACGCAGCAACTACGATTCGTTGATGTTGAGTTCTGCTGAATAAGGAGTACTATTGACTCTTTGCATGTAATTCTGTGCTCGTAGTTACATGCAGCGTTTGTTTCATCTCTTGTAACAGACTAAGTTGTTTTCCAAGTCACGATGGGCCTTGGGACCCAGTGCGTAAGGTCACTGATTACTATCCAAGTTTACCCCCGCGGCGACTGCGGCAACGATAATATCATGACAACGCCAGCACAGGTACGTAAGCCGAGTCACTCAGGAGCTATTATTCGGTGTGTTCAAGTGTCAGAAAGAGGGGACAGAGTTTGACATGAGCAATTACTGGCAGTAAGTTGATACCCGGTGGATACCGGCCGACGTCGGAGCAGGGTTGCTGCGGTTTCTGGCGGGGGGCTCACCTTCATATGTGGGGTAGCTGCTGGACTTCCGCCATCAAACTTGTGCGCGCCATATTTTCTCATTTTCAGAACAAACATACCAATTGCCAATAGAAAAAATGCCTACGCACAATATTGTCGTTCTCGCTGGTAAGTTGAAGTGTTGAAAGTCGGGCATCACTGTACTAATTCGCGTCCAGGTGATGGTGTTGGCCCTGAGGTAACAGCAACATCCGCGTGTGCCCACCGCGTCTACTCACCGGTATTCCTAGGTTGTCGCTGAAGCGATCAAAGTCCTCAAGGTTATTGAAAAGCATACCGATAATACCTTCAACTTCCAGGAGCATCTGTTTGGAGGTGTAAGTTGGGAGCTACGACGTAGGAGTCGGAACCGATCATAACCTTCTACAGTGCTCGATAGACGCGCACAACAACCCTCTTACCGACGAGACCCTCACGGCCGCAAAGAATGCCGATGCCATCATCCTGGGTGCCGTAGGAGGGCCGGTACGTAATTGTGTACTATCAAAAGGGCGACCCAATTTAATAAATGGTGTAGAAATGGGGCACGGGCAAGGTGCGCCCAGAACAGGGTATTCTCAAGCTCCGCAAAGAACTCGGGACCTTTGGAAATCTACGACCCTGCTTCTTCGTCTCCGACTCCCTAGTCGACTCCTCGCCCCTCAAAGCCGAAAATGTGCGGGGTGTCAACTTCAACATCATCCGTGAATTGACTGGTGGCATATACTTTGGTGACAGGAAAGAAGACGATGGCGATGGCTTGGCAACGGATACTGAAATATACACTGTCAAGGAAGTTGAACGCATTGTACGTTTGGCTGGCAACCTTGCCTCGGTCGAGGACCCACCAGTGCCTGTGTGGAGTTTGGACAAAGCCAACGTGCTCGCGACATCGAGATTATGGAGGAAAACATTCGAGCGCATCATGAAGGACGAGTACCCGCACCTCAAGACGGGCACTCACCTCATCGACTCCGCTGCCATGCTCATGATCAAGAATCCCCGCGCGCTGAACGGTGTTGTTGTCACAAGTAATCTGTTTGGTGACATTATTAGCGACGAGGCAAGCGTTATCCCAGGCAGTTTGGGTCTTCTGCCAAGCGCCAGCTTGGGCGGTATTCCTGACGGCAAGACAAAACTCAATGGCATCTACGAGCCTATCCATGGTAAGGCCCGATGATATCCGCAAACATTTTGCCTGCTCACACGAACATAGGTTCTGCACCAGATATCGCTGGAAAGGGCATTGTCAACCCCGTTGCAACCGTCCTCTCCGTAAGCATGATGTTCAAGTACTCTTTGTGCCTGCCGGAGCTTGCGCAAAAGATCGACGAGGCAACAAAAATCGCTATTGACAATGGCGTCCGAACCGCCGATATCGGTGGCAAGTCAAGTACAAGTGAAGTTGGCGACGCGATAGCCGCGGAACTGGAGAAGCTACTGAAGAAATGATTTTGAGATATGAGATAATGTGCTTAGCATTTAGTCATGATTATGGCTGAGTAGTGACGCTTTACTCGTAGCTCTTTGCAGAAAAAAGTTCAATTGTACATCTCTCCCCCGTGTATCTTTGGCTAGCCTCATCCATGTACACGTGATTAATATGGAACGCTTTCTTAGTAATACCCGACATAGAAGCGAACAATCAACTTAAAAATGACAGGCCCAGTATACTTGTATGTCTACTTTTTGTTCGTGTCATCCTAAATCATGTTATGGAGACGGAATGAGAGCCGAACGAATGATTTTGAGTGCCAATACGTATGTAGAGTAGCCCGACAAAGTATACCATGACTGCTCTCGGGAACAACGACACGCGTCCCATCACATAAGCAAAAATCTCTAGAGTCATGTCTGGTAGAGATCATGCCTTGGCAATGCAACAAAAACAAGATAAATGTAGCCAAGATTTACTGCACCCATGGTACTTGCTGCTGTAGTCTACAACGGGATTGAATGGAGTAGTGAAGGTAAGAATGATGTAGAGCATGCCGCTTGGTAGGAACCACACATATTTCTTTTTGATACAAAATCGGGTCCCCTCTCTGTAGATGGTGGGTTTGATGACGCGCCTGATTACTCGTCTTAGCTATGTAGCACGTAAGGGCTGGTGTTGCGGTGAACTGGGACGAAAGGACGGGGCTGGTACGCTGGTACTCGGAGACTTGAGATTTTGGTAGCACATGGTAATGGCGCTACGCGACATGTCTTCTCGAAGTATACAGCTTATGCATATAATATTAGTAATTTCTGGTCCTTTCTCTTGAGGAAACAGTCTTTGTAAGGGCCATCATTTGGAGATAAGAAATCTTTACCACGATGAAACATGGGATAAGATGCGAGCACAGACGTATCCACAAACGGCGAAGATGGATCTGTAACCGATCGAATCCACAGCACAGCCTCCAAAAAAAGCAATGGGAAAGCCGATTGGCAGTATTTCTTGGCCGGTACTAGTTTTCCACCGTGGTACCGAACGGAATTCAACTTTTTCCCGACTCCGATCAGAACCAATCTTCCCCAAACCACGAATGAGTCTTCGGGTAGAAAACTCTTCGAAGGAAAAAACCCACACAGAAGCCAGATTTTGGAAGATAAGTTCGGGTCCGTTTCGGCAAGTCTTGGAACCTCATTGTCGCAGCGTAATAGCTTATTTTCTTAAAAAGATCCCTTCGCTTGACTTTTTTCTCTGTTTGCTACATAGCGTATTAGATTAATTATCTTAGAAAAGAATGGCAGGCCACACCCCAACCTACCAGAATCGGGTATCAAGAAAATTGACTTTACAGTCAAAGTACGTAATAAA